CCCGGCCTGCCCGTGAGTACTGTGGGGAGCCAGGCAGGCTCTGCCAGCCCCCATCCCCTCAGGGGTCCCCATGTCCCTCCTGGTGCTCACTGGGACCCCCCATGTTGCAGTTGGGGGACCCCCAGTGGGCACCAAACACCGTGTCCCTGCAGGGCTCATCCCTGTCCCACCCATCCAGTCCCACCCCACACATTCCCAGTGCCCTATCCACTGCCCTGTTCCTCCATGCCCCGTCCATCTGTGCCCTGTGCATGCCCTGCCTGTGCCCCCATCCTTCCTCTTCCATGTCCCACCCATGTCCCCTCCCTGCCCAGTGCCCACTCTGTGCCCTCCATCTCCTTCCTTCCCCAGGGCATCAAAGGCGAGCGAGGCTACCTGGGCCCCCCCGGGGAGAAAGGGGAGCTGGTGAGTCCCTCGGGGCCGTGCTCTGGGGGCAGAGGGGCTGGGGGCTCTCCCAGGTGCCCCCTCACCGTGGGCACCAGGGCTGAGGCCCTTCCAGCCTCATCCATCTGACCCCATTCCTGCCTTCCCAGGGACCCCCCGGCATGGACGGGCCCCCCGGTCCCGCAGGACCCGCGGTAGGTGCCCCCCCTGACGGCCCCCGGGGGGCTGTGGGGAGGGAGGGGGGAGGCTGTGGGTGCAGTGGGGTGCTCCCCACCACCTCATCCCCTCATTCCACAGGGACCAAGGGGAGAGCGGGGGCTCCCGGGCAGCGCCGGCGAGAAGGGGGATCAGGTGAGCACTGCCAGGGGCACAGGGACCCCCAGGACCCCCAGCGGGCAGGGCGTGGCTGTTGGGGTCTGGCTCAGCTCTCACCTCTCCACAGGGTTTCCAGGGCCAGCCTGGCTTCCCGGGACCACCGGTGAGTCCCTCCTCCAGCACAGCAGGGTGTCCCTGGGAGGTGATGCCCATCCCTGGCTCTGTGTCCCCATGTCCCCACGGGGCCAGGGACAGGGATGGGGGGTTCTACAAGGGGAACACGGGCACATCCCGTGGGATAAGATGCAGGGAGCAGCCCCAGAGCAATCCTGCTAAAATGAGTTTGGAGGCAGCAGGATGCGTGGGCTGGGCTCTGCTCCTGGGACCCCCCTCACTCATCACCCCCTTCTCTTTAGGGTCCCCCTGGCTTCCCAGGGAAGGTTGGTCCAGCTGGGCCACCAGGGCCCATGGCTGAGAAGGTGAGTGCCACGGGACGTGGCTGTGTGATGGCACCGCTCGTCCCTTGGGCTGTGGCCTGGTTTGGTGCCCCAGCTGTGCCCGTGACCTCCTGTGGCTCTTACAGGGCAGCGAGGGCATGCGAGGCCCCACGGGGATGCCAGGACCCCCTGGACCCCCAGGACCTCCGGGCATCCAGGTAAGACCCTCCCCATGTGTCATCCTCGGGGGCAGAGGGGGCAGGACCACCCATGTCATGGTGCTCCTGGGAGCATTGCTGGTTACTCCCATTCCCCTGGGACCTGTTGCCATGGCCTGGGGTGCCCAGAGCAGGTCCCTCAGGGACCCCCAGAGCCCTCCAGTGCAAACCACCCTCTGACATCCTCACCTTGTCCCCGCAGGGCCCCGCTGGCTTGGAAGGACTGGATGGCAAGGATGGCAAGCCGGGGCTACGGGTGAGGCTCGGGGGCTCTCTGGGGTGCTGGTGGGGGACAGCCACCCTGCAGCCCCCCCAGGACATTCCCAACCTGTGTCTCTTTCTCTCCAGGGTGATCCAGGACCCCCTGGGCCACCAGGGATGATGGGTCCTCCGGTGAGTGACAGCTTTCCTTGTCACCCCTCCCTGGCACTCAGTGCCTGGCACGTCCCTGCAGCCAGGCCTGTGGGTCCCCTGATCCAGGACTGTCCCACTGTGTTCCTGGGGACACTGAGACCCAGGGGGAGGATGGGGGCCCTGGTCAGGGTCACCTGCCTTGCTCTGCTGGCGGGAGCTGGGACCCCCACCCAGCTCTTTTCTCTCTCCAGGGCTTCAAGGGGAAGACGGGACACCCGGGTCTCCCAGGACCAAAGGTGAGCGATGGGGACACTTTGTGGTGACATCCCCAGGGTCCTGAGTCCCAGGCCAGGGTATCCATGCATTGCTCTGCTCACAATGTCCCTTCCTCCTTTTAGGGTGACTGTGGCAAACCTGGTCCCCCGGGGAGCCCAGGCCGGCCGGGAGCTGAGGTGAGTGAGGGGTGGGTGGGCGTGGGACCACTGAGCTGCTTGGGCACCGTGCAGCCTCTCCTCACCCTGCCTTCCTCCTCAACACCCTGCCTTCCTCATCACCCCATCTCCCTCAGGGTGACCCCGGGCCCATGGGACCCCAAGGCCGGCAGGGACCCCCAGGGCTCATCGTAAGTTGGACCTGCCCCTCGTGGTGCACCAGGAGGGTGCCCGTGGGGGGATCACAGCAGGGACTCCCTCCGGTGCCAGGAGTGGGGTCATCACCCACGCCCCCCCCGCTGACACCCCTGTCTCTGCCCCCAGGGACCCCCTGGCAGCCCAGGACAGCCGGGTCCTGCTGGCCTCGCTGGAGTGGTGAGTCCTGGAGCCCCCACCACAGCCCCAGCCGTGGGATGTGGGGTCGGGATGGGGGCTGGGTGGGTGCCATGGACAGTGGGTTTGGGGGTCCCCATCCTCATCCTGTGCTGATTCTGGTGCTCCCACTCCCTCCTCCGTGCAGGGGCTGAAGGGTGAGCGTGGCTCCGTGGGGGAGCGAGGTCTGCCAGGGATGCCAGGGCAGCCGGGACCCCCGGGACACCCCGGACCACCGGTGAGTGCAGCACAGCCCCCGGTACCCCAGTGCAGTGGGGACCTCGAGGACTGGTGATGGTGGTCACTCTGTGGTCACCACTGTGGTGGTCACTGTCTCCCACTTTGGTCTCCCAGGGGGAGCAGGGACCAGATGGACCCGTTGGGAAAGAGGTAGGAATGTGGGCTCTGGAGCTCTCCTGCCCAGCTGGACCCACAGTTGGATTGTGACATCCTCATGGTGTCCCCAGGGTGCCCGTGGTGGGGACATCCCTGCCACCCTGCTCCTTTGTGTGTCCTCAGGGTCCTCCGGGAAAGCCGGGCATTGCGGGACCGGCGGGACAGAAGGTGAGGGGAGCCTGGCTGTGCCACTGCAGCCATCCCGTGCCACAGCCATCCCAGCATCCTACTGCCATCCCAGAACCCCACAGTCACCCCAGAACCCCTCAGTCATCCCAGCATCCCACAGCCATCCCAGCATCCCACAGCCATCCCAGAACCCCACAGCCATCCCAGAACCCTACAGCCATCCCAGAACCCCACAGCCATCCCAGAACCCCACAGCCATCCCAGAACCCCACAGCCATCCCAAAACCCCACTACCCCTCTCAGGGTACCGGGGCTGAGCCCCGCCTCTCCCATCCCCGCAGGGTGAAGCCGGATCCCCCGGTGAAAGAGGGTACCCCGGGGAGAAGGGCAGAGCCGGGATGCCCGGG